AGCGTTAGGTTTGCGATATAATGCGCAAACATTGATTTACACGTGAATGAGATCCTAATTAGGTCTGACGAATCATCAGCATTGAAACCTCACTCTTGGTTTACTTTAATTAATTCTCACGGGAGACATCTTTAATATACTTTATTTTCTTTAATAACTTTAATTATATTTATTGCTTGCATCGATACGTTACTTCTTTTGTTCGCAAAATAAACAAAATAGGGCCCCAAAAAAGTAAATAAATACATAAGTATCGAAGAAACCGAGTCATCATGACAGATCAGGCTTTTACAGCAAATGCAGAGTTAGTGTTATTTTATTGTTATCTCGATTTACACGATTTTATATACAGAGCATATTGATAAAGATTACATTAAAAATGAAAAGAAAAAAACGTATTTATCTATATATAACTGAATTGATTATTTTTTTAATTCAAACCATCAACTAACTTTAACGTGCGTTTGTTATAATATCTAGTGTTTTATTTAATACGTGTATCTCGATTATGTGAATTAATAATTTTCAAAAACTGAACTAAAATTGATATTAATTTATACTCCCTCTGTCCCATTTTATAAGATGTTGTGTGTAAAAGCACAAAGATTAAGAAATAGTTAATGTTCAACTTTTTATAAGAATTCAGCCAATAGAAAAAAAGACTGCAGAATTTAAATGGTCATAACATACTAAATAAACATAAATTATGCATAGAAAACTGAGAAAATCTTAAAAAATGGAACAAGGAAAAAATGCTAAAACATCTTATAATTTGGGACAGATGGAGTATAGAATATTTGATTGTGTTTAGTTAAATATATATTAGGTTTGAAATGAAATCTTTTTTTTTCTTGAAATGAAATCTTAAATTCACTATATTGTATCAAGTTTCAAACAATAATATAAATACCCAAATTCCTTAATTTAACTACTTTTTAACGGTCAGTCATTGTATTGCATGTATTCAAAGTTAGTCTACTAAAAAAACCGTCTACTCAAATAATAATAATTTATTAGTCTTATGTTCAAGTTAATACGGGGATAATATAATTAATTAAGGTTGTGAGTTCGTCGGCATAAGGCCATATTTAAAGGGAGAACACTTAAGTGTTCTTAGCCTTTTAAAAATAGAAAATATTGTGAATAGTGTTAGATCTGTTGTAGATCTGTTCTTGTTGTAGAACTGTTCTTGGCCCAGTTTTAGCGTGACGTGGCGCTTCATCATTGGCTACGAATTTTTGCAAAGGAAAAAAACATTTCATTTCTCCTTCGATCTGAAATCTATGCTAGGGTTTAATTAAATAATATGTTTGTTTGTTTGTTTGTTTTATTTATATCTTTAATGTTCTTTTTTGTTTCATAAAAATTTGATATTATATTTTGTGTTTCTTTTTATTTTCAAATCTATTTTAGTATAAATTTTTTAAGTTTGCAATTTAAAAGTTATTTCTAAAAGTTTTTAAAATTGTAAACTAATGATCTTACATTATTTCAATTTCAAATCAATTCTTATGATCTAAACATGTTCTACCAATAATCACTTACTTTACAAAAGATCTTAATTAAAGCTCTTACAATATTTTAATATTTTTTCTCCCTTAAGATCAAACTTCAAAGATGCACCCTTGCATATGCCCTAAATGGGTTATAACATAATAATGTCACATGATTTTTTCCTGCTATTGAATTAAATATGTGTTTTTTTTATATTCATATAAAATATAGAAAGAGATAAAATAATAAAGGAGGGCACATGTCCATTCATTTTTATGCCGATGAACAACCCCATTTTGTTATTATACCAAACATTTAATATTCGCCTCTCAAACCGATAGATAAGTCATAAGTGAGAGGATGCGTACACACATCAAGTATACGGTACACATACACATGTACGTGTACATGCAACGTGGGTACGTGTACGAAATAACTAGAGAACCCTTGAGATGCAAATCTTCGTTGAAAAATCTTGGACAAGGATTGAGAAAGGTATCTGAGATCCAAGATCTGATCTGAATGGTTTCGTAAATACAGGCTATTCAGAGTTTTTGAATCTTGATCCAAATCAAGATCCAACTATTTTGACTAAAAAATACGATATTTGGATGCGTTTATATGTCACTACAAAAAATGAGTATATGTAAGAGTTTTTTTGTAACATCTGATTTATTATTATGATATATATTTAGATAATTATTTGACGGTCCCGAATCCAAGCAGTTTGAAAATCGAAGTATTCGATTATAATTTTTTATAAAAACGAATAGAGTTTAATGACAATAGACAAGTTGACATATTGAGAGGAATGGCAAGTAACAGTGTGCTATATTACAGAAAGGCTACGAGAAGTCCCCACTTCTTCTTCTTCCCCAAACAAATAAACCTTCCTTCTGTTTGGACCACCATTATTTTTATTTTTATTTCAACAAATTGTACCTTTTTTAGATAAATACAACTTTTATTTTTTGTTTTTATATACTGTAGTTAGTTGTCATCTCGCTTGATATATAAAATTCTACAATCACTTAAGAAAAATATCAAGCTGTAAAATCTTATGTATAAAAATATTCACCAAAAAATAAAAATATTTACCACGAATCAATAAAATACGATATGAATTAGAAAATCGAGATCATTACCAAAATAGACCTTAATTCTCTTATTTTGCTTTCATCTATGTCCTGGTTGTTTCAACAACTTTAACTAAGCCAAGTTCAGAAATTGTCCTCCCAAATTTTAACAACAATTCAACCGCACTGGTTATGGATTTGTCCCTAACCATCTATCTATTTGTCCCTTAACCGATAAGAAGTGTTCAACTAAAAAGTGGGTAGGCTAATAAAGTAAAGTGAAAGGACAAAAAAAAGAAAAGCAAGTCACGAAGAAGTGTGTATAAACAAAACCCACTTGCGTAACCCTACCTCGAACCATGTAGTAATTCATCATCTCACCAGTCACCTCTCTTTTTCTTTTTTTGGTTTGCTGTTTTTATTTTTATATTGTAGTCTCCTTTTAACTGTATCTTGCTTTTCCCCATCTGTTTTAGAATAAATTTTGATTCAAGTCGGTTAGATTATTAAGCCTAAATTCTAATAGTATAAGCTCATGTACTTTTGTAATTTAGAGGTATGCTTACAAGTCTCTGTACTTCTTATTTTTTCAAGAACCATTTCATAATTTTTTTTACAAAAGTTACAATTCGAAACTGATGTTAAAAGTAAATTGATATATTATTATGCTTATTTGGTTTGCTTCCTACTTTTAGTATAAATTGAAACTAATATTAATAACTTTCGATTTGTACTATTTTTTACCCAAAAAAAGAAAAGAAAAAGCGACGTTGAAAATACACAAGGTCCGTAGACTTAATAAAAATATGTGGACCGACCTTCTTTGCTATCGATTCTAGAGGTAATTAAGGTTTTATGACACTGAAAAAAAAAAAAAAAAAAAAAAAAAAAAGGTTTTATGACACTGGATTATACATTTTTTAACGTCACCAAGTACTGGTTATTTTCCTTTTACATAGACGTGAGTATTAAACTAAAATGGTTCAGAGAAATGGTTTACGGTGGTTAATTACATCGTCCATTTTAATCGATAAGAATCTGTTTCGGACAGAAGAAAAAAACAATGAGAGGCTGTCACTTTCCATGTGCAATCCACAGACGTGAAAGCACGACCGTTCGATTATCCCTCGTAATTTACAAGTTCCTTCTGGAATGCTAATCCAACGGCGGGTACAACCACATATATATTTACCAAATCTCTATGACAACAACTTATTACTCCCTCCGTTTCGTTTTAGTTGTCGTTTAAGGTTTTTGCACATAAATTAAGAAAATCATTAAATTTTTTGTTTTACCCTTTATTAATATATTTTATAATTTTTTCATTGGTCAAAACATTAAAACATTAATGACAAAACATTAATTTTCACCAAACATTTGCATTGAAAACCTAAAACGACAACTATTATGAAACAAAATTTTAATCCTAAAACGACAACTAAACTGAAACGGAGGGAGTACTTTTTTTCTTTTGTCTTTCTTACAAAACGTACATAATATTTAAAAAACAATAAAATAAAGGAGCATCTTCCTTTCATCTTTCAATTATCGTTTTCGAAACTTATAATATTACGTGACAAAAATGTTAGGCCACTGCATTTACATTTTACAAGTCCCACTGAACAAATTTTCTCACCAAGTACTTCTATTTATGAACTTTTATTATTTTGTCGGAAATATCTACTTCATAATTAATTTATCCCCTAATATTACAAATATATACTTTTTTCGTTGACAATATATACACAAATAAACTTTGTGTATATAAAGTGAATTGCTTTGGTATAAATTTTATGAATTTGAATTTTCATACAAAAAAAAAAGAAATTTTATGAATTTGATTGGTGACATAAAGTGATATAGTTATTTTAGTGGTACGAAATATTGATAGAAGCTAGTAATAATTCGGTTAGAAGTAATTAATGGTACGAAAGTTTTAAGAATTCTATCGGTGACAGAAAGTGATATAATTATTTTAATGGTACGAAATATCGATAGACGATAATAATAAGTCAGTTAGAAATAATTAAATAGTGGTACGATAAAAACAATGATACTAATCTCTTCGTACTACAATTTTTTTTACGTTACCGGTCAAAGCTATAAGATTTATCATAAGTACAACAATGCTTAAGATCTAAAAAATACTTTTCTAATAGAAATAAATAATAATATTGATAGTATTATATTAATCTTGACGAGATGGCAAAAAATAATTGTATACCATGTATTTGAGATTTCCCTCCGGGTTATGCGAAAAAAAGGAAAAAGCATTCACATGTCTCTCTCCTGACATGCACGAACCAACTAATAACTTCTTATTAATATTTCAATTGATACTAAATCACGTTATTATTTTAATTAAAAATAAACCCATTTTGACCACAACCTTTCTCTATATAAACATTTTTAGTCTCCTCCTCTCTCTCATCACCACAACGATTTTCTCTCTCTCTCTCTCACGATTTTAAAAGTTAAACAAAACCATTGTCTTCTCAATCTTCCTTCTCCAAAAATGGCAGAAACAACAACAGTATCATCGCCATTGAAGCGCCAAAGAGATGAGCAAGAACAGGAAATCATCAAAACACAAGAAGAAACAAAAAGACAAAAGCCTTCTTCATCTTCTTCCTCGTACAACCAAGTTCGAACTCTCCTAGATGATATAGAAGTAGTAGAAGATGAAGCCGACAATGACATAACTTCCCTAATCACCACTCTTCAGCAAGAAATCTCTAATGAAGAACAAAACGCTGCCGTTTTCGAAGAGAACCCTTCTCTGTCTTCTTCTTGCTCCTCCTCTTCGTCGTCTTCATGCACTTTTAAAGAAGATGAGTACGAAGAAGACAAAGAGAAGGTGATGAAGCATCTTCTTGAAGCTTCTGATGACGAACTTGGGATCCCTAACACTGAAATTGGCGAGAGTAATTATGAGATGATTAAGAGTGAGACTAATCAGGATTACGTTAATGGGTTTAGTTTATTAGATGGGTTTGGTGTTGGGCTTTGGGAGCTTGAGGATGAAGCAGCTAATTATTACACGTTGCTGCAATCAGAACTGTTCATGTAGGGGAGGGTAAAATAGGAAAACGAGAAAAAGAGGATTAGTAAAAAGGGAAAGTAAAACTGTAAAAGACCAATTATGATGATGAAGAGAAAAAAAGAAGAGACTATTTTCTTTAATGGAAATTATTCTTTTTTCATTATTGGGTTTTCGTTTTTTCCAATGTGAATTTGACAAGTGTCCTCTTTTTATTTGGTTAGAGTACTAAATGAATTATATTGGTTTTTGATTAATTTCTAGTGGGACTAATGATAATGATACTATTTTGTTGTTTTTGTCTTTAAATTGTTTGTCACGTTATTACAAAAAACATTTCAACCCTACAATACAATTCAAAGAACATATAACAAAATAAATACATAATTTTTAGTTCAAGTGGGTTTTTCTGGTCCCATTCCGGACCCTTGTGTTTCAACTAGCTACGAGCAAGTCTTAAATGAAATTTCTCCACAAAAAAAAAATCTCCAAAATATTTAAAAATGTAATTCGGTTTAAGGACATATAACAAAGAAAAACTTCTAATTGCGTACCATGTGGTATATGTTCAAACTTTACTAAATACACGTGTTTTTGTTAAAAAAAAAATACATGGTTTTAACGCATCTAGTTTTCTTATAACTGGGATGATTTCAAACAAACCTAGAGTAATTATTTGTAAATGTATTTATAAAAAATTACTTTAAAAAAATATATAGTAACCAAAATTAGTACTACTATTCTTTCATGTTGGATCGAAATAGTGGATTTTTTTTCTCTCTTCAGATATTCGTATCCATACGGCCATACACGTCCCCATACCTATGAATCTGTACTCATCATTATTTTGTCAATATATAACAGAAATCTCAAATACTTAAAAATTTATAGATATAAAATCGTATAATGAATGAAAAGTTTCCTCAATTCTTTCTACACATCCCTATTGTCCATGATGCATCGACAAAATAGTGTATCTAAATTTGTTAAATTAATTGATAGCTTTATTATATATACTTTCATATCTACATATTACGTACTTTAAATTTGTTGATAATTGTATTTAACTTAACATCTAATATTTGGCGTACGTCATTTGGTCACGTGTTTTGGGCTTTGGCCTTTTAGTATTTTGCGATAGTACTTAGAAGTTAGAACAAAAATTACCAAAACTACTCAGAAAAGTTTTAATGGATCTTTAATTTGTTTTCCCTAATAGGCCAATGCTAATGTTTCTATAAAAATCTAGTAATCGGCAGTTCGGCACTATAGGCTTGAAACAAAAAAATACTATCAAAGAGAGAGTATGTGCCTCGTGGGTTTTAATGCTCATGGTTCATGATACGCCATTATCCACGTATCACGATTGTCGGTCCACAGTCCACTTACGCGATTTTCCACTGACGCTATGTTCCACCAGTTCCTGACATCGATAATTCAATAGTAGTTATCTCATTGAACAGATTAATTAATACGTGTGTTTGTCGAGTAGTGGACAAATTTTGAAATAATATCTGGATTTCTCTATCTCGTTTTCATTGGCTATGTATGGTTGCGTTGTAACAAAAGAAAATCAAGTGGGTATAAGCAATTTAGGACAATGCCGATCGTGACAATAATGATATAAGACAGAGAGATTATGCTCGCTTGATTACATAGTTGAGCTTAAAACATTATTGCAACAATAATCATTTTATTGTTTTCGTTTCACTTTGGAGCTATATGATCATAAAAAAACAAAAACAAAAAACAAAATTGACAAACAAAAAACGATCGCATCATGTCCGCCACCCTTAGTTATTCTACCTTTGTTTCTTCTTCTTCAAAAATAGAATATAGATATAATTGGTGACACAAGAGATGAAGTTTGACAAGAGAATTTTTAGAAGTAAAAAAAGACGTATGAATTAGAAGAGACAAGAATAGCAACAAAACTTGAATGGCTATTGTAGAATAGAATAACGACTGAAATTAGTTCTTATTTTAGAGGTTTAAATGGTATATATAATTGAAAGTGTTTTTTTTAGGTTATATGAAATATTTGTACTTTAGTTAATGGCTTTTTTTACGTACTATCTTATTATTTGAAAAATGTATTTTGTGTTGAAAACAATCTTTTTTTTAACTGTTTTTATGAATAATATCACAAAGAAAATATACTGTAGAAATACATAAGCTGACGGAAACATTAAATATCTCTCGAAACTTAAAGTCCAAAAGAGTTGAAAACAATCTAAGTTTATCTATTTGGTTGAAGGCGGCGATTTTTAAAACCAAGATTATAGTTTAGAGATCTAGATCGAAAGAGGAAAAATTCTATTTGACTTTGTTTTCAAAGGATTTTTTTATTCGATAAACCAAAGAAGTATTCAAAATGAATACGACGCTCACTTTTTTTTTTATAATATAACCTAAAATCTTGATTAATTGCTGTAAAAAAAAACAAATTTAGACGTTTTCAAATCAGGTGAAAAACGGATATTCTTGCTTTGGAGAGAAATCATATATAGTAAATTTTAATAAACCAGAAGAAATGGGTCTAACAGACGAATTATAAAGTGGAAGAAATAACATTTTTATACTATTATTTAAACAAAAAGAAAACATCATTATACTAATATATCTATTTGTTAAGTTTCACTGCGACTATAATGCCCACAAACAAATATTCTTTGGCCCAAAAAGTCTACCGACGAATATGGCCCGAAGACAATACTTTGCTTCTGTTTCAGGCTTTGTATAATGCTTTATTTCACACAGGTATACATATACAGTATATGATATACTTATAAAAAATTGGTGAAGCTGAAGCATATACTATTGAGTGGTTGAGTTTTAGGACCTAAAATCTTAAATGATATCTCAATGTCAATACAAAATGAGGCTCAAAGTTTTGCCAACCTTCATTGTTCGATACTCTCTTTATTCTTATCTTCATTGGAATCGAGTTCTTTAACACCACTGAATCCAAGTTCAGCCATATCCTGCTTTGCCATCAAGTTCCTGCATAATAATATCACTATCATGATCTAAATCCATCCAACGTTTATCGATACACCTTTTTCTGATACAACCTAAGTAAACTGACTTACTTAGCCATTCGACACTGGAGATATTTCTTTGATAGATGTCTACATTGTTCAGATTTATGAGCTGAAGACTTGAGACAACCAAGATATTCTTTCTTCTCCTGAAAACAACCAAGAAACTGCTAAGTGAATAACTCAAAGATAACCAAACCCAAAGATACCATAACTATACTACACGAAGACCAAAATGAAGAATACCGCATCGCATTCGTGCAAGTGATCCAAAGGGAAAATGCCCTTTTCTGGTGGTATTGGTCTTAATCCTCTGTTTCCTCCAAATGCTCCACCTAACAACACAAGTAAAATCAATAAGCCCGAGTCAAATCTAGCTTTAAGAAGTAACATTGATCACAAAAACATGTTACATTTCGTGCAAAATGAAACATCAATTACATTTCTATGTGGGTTATTTAGTGAATAAGTAAGTATTGATTAAACCCAAAAGATGATACAAAATTATAAAACATTCGATCTAAGGTTTTGGGTTTTACTTATAACCAAACTCAACACAATAATTTCTTGTCTCCAACAATACTCGCTCCACAGTTTAATTTCAAGACTAATCGCTGTAATGAATACATAGACATGTAGATGATGATGATGATCAATTAGCAATGAGTAGTTCTGAAGGCTAAACTAAATTATATAAAATTGCTTCAAGATACCGAAAACTAGAATTTTTCCAATTTAAGAAGAACCCAACTTTATTTTCATCTTCTGTACTTCGAGAGAAATCGAATGAAGGAAAAGAAATAATGAGAAGAGAAGAAAACGCACCTGTACTCATTTCGAGAGCCTTGGAAAAGAGTTGGGGGATTCGCCGATTGATTACACTCTGAGCGTTGCTGAGAAGTCAAAAAGAAGGGTCAATTATCCCAGCTTTCTCATGTTTGGTTCAGGCCCATAATGGCCCATTCTCAATTACTTCAGAAGTTTTCGAGGCCATATTCCTTAATTAAACTTGGAGACGAGAGAGAAGCTAACTAATTTAATTTGGAAACGTGAAGGAAAAACAATTGTGTGATTGACAAAATTAATTCTTCCTTGGCTTTAATTGGTCTACAAGGTTATATAATCAATTGATCCAATGTACCAATGAGTTTTTTATTGCTAAAATGACACCAAAAATATAATTCTTTTGTGAGACTTCAAACCTAAACATTTTCTAGGCCTGGGCATTAAGACACTGTTCAGATTCGGATGGACTGAATTGGGATTATCCCTTGGTAGGCAGTTGATCAGGGCAGGAACTTTTTAAAAAATTTGTTTTGAATTGTGTTTCTATGAATATACAGTACTTCGAGAAGGGTCAGCAGTGAATACTGTGAAATCAGCAGTGAATCTAATAAAGGAGAAACTGGATGTTGGAATATAAATATAAAGAAACACAGATTGAAACAATTGTCCAAGCAAATTGGAATCATACGAGGATCCTTGTCTTCAACTGTTACAACAAAAGAGAAACATAAAACTTGAGAAACTAAATTATCGGTTCTACAACCACAAATCATCATCTTCTTCTTCATTCTTATTCGCTCGTGGCTGATATGAAGGCACTTCCAGGTTGACGGTTAGCCAATGGCCCATGGTTTGATAGAAACTGCAACAACACAAAACACACATAATTCAGAACCAACCAATCCCTAAACATAATACTATTAAACGGTGTGAAAATCAGACAAACCTTAGCATTGACACCATCAGGAACAATCCTCTTCATCGCTCTTAACTTCGTGTACTCAGCACGGTTGAATTTGGTGAAACCCCTGAAAACATCAACGATCAATTTAATAATATGCTCAGACATCAAACAGACAAAGAAATTGACAAGAGACTTAAAACTAAACATACCATTTCCTGCTAACAATGATCTTTTGACGACCAGGGAACTTAAACTTAGCTCTACGAAGAGCTTCCTGAGCATGAGCTCCATGATTATCCTTACACCTAACAGACAAAAGAACCTGTCCGATCGCAACTCTAGCACAAGTACCAAGAGCTTTACCAAAAGCACCTCTCATTCCAGTCTGAAGCCTATCAGCTCCAGCACACGAAAGCATCTTGTTGATTCGCAGAACATGGAACGGATGAACCCTAATCCGGAGATGGAACGCATCTTTACCAGCAGATTTAACCATGTACTTGTTACAAGCAATACGAGCAGCTTCAAGAGCTTCACTTGAAACATTCTCTTTCTCCCATGAAACCAAATGAACACAGAATGGAAACTCATCAACTCCTTTCCTCTTCATACCGACATCGTAAATCCTGATTTTCGGATCTGGAACTCCACGACAGTATCGTGATTTCGGGTATGGCTTTCCCTTAATCTGACGGTAACATCTCGCTGGTCCTACACATTTGAAATCAGATTGTTCAATCAATAGTTTGCACACACAACAAAAACCTAAATTGAAGATTTGCATATTCAATCAATAGCGGATTCATTCACTAAACCCTAGATTGACATAATCAAAATCTCAAACTAATCGAAAAACCTAGCGAAACACGATTCTACCAAAACAGAATCGATTCAACGAAATTGAATTGAAATGGCAAGTAAAAAGAGAAGATTGATAATAACATTTCACATTTTGAAATGAGAATTTTGAAGACTGGCTTTGTTGAAATCAATGGCGTTCACACACAAAACCCTAGATTGAAATAATTGAAATCTCAAACTATTTCTTCACACAGATTGAAGCAAAAGACGATTCTACCAAAAATTAATCGATTTCAACGAATTGGAATTGAGATTGTAGGTAAGTAGAGAAGATCGACTTACTTCGTCCCATCGTGTTGGATTCGTTCGATGTTGGTTTTGCAAAACCCTAGAAATTACAAATGGGAAGCTGTGTTGTTGTTTTATAGGTGCGACAAAAGACAAACCCTAAATTTAGCATACGTAACTGCTTAGCTAAATAAAGGCCCATTTAGATATTATTTGATAGTCGGTCCAGGCCTTAATCTTTGACTTTCACATTATACATAGGTTCCAATGTGAACACGCTAGGCTAATGTTTTTTTTTTTTTTTTTTTTTAATAGTCAAAGAAGAACAAAAGAACAAAATGTTAACAACTTGGTAGCCAAATTTGGGTTTTCTTCTAGAGGGTTAACAAATCCATACACATCAAAAAGATGTTATCAGTTTGTTCTCTTATAAACAGTATTTTAAGCTTTGCCAAATATCAATCGAAAACTACAAGAACCACATTCAAAAGCTCAGATCATGGCCTCCAAATTTTGAAGTCTAGGGGACACATCATAATCCATATTAGACAACAGAAGATCACATATGCACGACACTAAAAAGACTGGGATTAGAACAAAGGCAAAAATCACAATTGTCTCAAATGATTTATAAAACACATATACTCAAATGGTTTAAAACACATACTCTCGATGTCTATTCTACCGCTTCTCGCCGCATAAACAAGTAGCAGCTTGAAGAGCGAAGTATGTTAGGATGATGTCCGCTCCAGCTCGGCGTAAGCACATCAGGGACTCCATCATAACTTTCTCTTCATCGATCATCTTCAGGACTCCCCCTGCTTTGATCATTGAGTACTCTCCAGAAACCTGCATGGAGAGATTGAAATCAACAAAAACATCCTTGGAATGTTATTCAGTAAGTTTAGAAGCAGAGTATAATAAGGCAAGTACTTGGTATGCAGCAATGGGCAATGGAGATTTGTCCCTCAGAAGCCGTATGATGTCCAAATATGGAAGACCTGGCTTCACCTGTTACAAAACACTCCAATTATATTACCAAACTCTGTCAATGTTTTGCTAAGATGATAGAGGACTTACCAGGAGAATGTCTGCTCCTTCAGCCTCGTCTTCACGTGCCTCAATCAAGGCCTCTCTGTAGTTTGCTGGGTTCATCTGATACCTATAGTTCATAACGTCAGTTTGGCACTGTTAGGGTTAGCAGAAGAAATGCAAATTTAGTATCGATGAGGGTTGATGGGATTTACGTTTTCTTGTCTCCAAAACGCGGATTGGAGTCCAGGGCTTCACGGAAAGGACCGTAAAACGAACTTGCATACCTGTTGGCAGAAGATGCAAACAATTAGACAGAACAAACAAGAATATGCTTCCAGAAAAAAATTTGAGGTAAAAAGAAATGTATTATTACTTGGCTGTGTAGGACATGATGGAGACGTTTTGAAATCCTTCAGCATCAAGAGCTGCACGGATTGCACCTACTCGCCCATCCATCATATCACTCGGACTGACAACGTCCGCTCCAGCTCGGGCCTGGCAAGAGAGAGGGAGAGATCATATTTCATTAGTGGGAAAAAAACTTCAGACATTTTGACTGTTTGATATCGAAAGATTTACCTGGGAAACAGCTTGCTTACACAGCTGATGTACCGTTTCGTCATTCATAATAACACCTACAGAGATAAATCTGTATCACAACTCCAATCAAAAATGTAACAGAAGGAAGTGGGGTAGAAATACTTACCATCCTCTCTAACTATTCCATCGTGACCATCGGATGAGTAGGGATCCAAAGCCACATCAGTGTAGATAACCTAGCAACAGAGGAGAACGTTTGTCACAATTCCAAATTACCCCATTTTTCATCTCCTGGTATATTTAACAAACAGGGATTACGGATCTTACAAGATCAGGATATTTGTCTTTGAGAAGACGAATTGTTCGAGGCACCAAACCATTGTCATTGTATGCTTCATCCCCTGTTGAATTCTACAAAATGGAAGCCAAAAACAAAGAGTTCAATATAAAACTCAAGAACATATGTACGCATAGAAGAGAAATGTGAAACACCTTCAAAGCCTCAGGAACTTTAGGGAACAGAACTATGCTGTTTACACCAACAGCTCGAGCCTTTGCAACCTGTTTGCATAGAAAATCAGAAATAAAAATCATGTTCTTGTAACACGGCGGCAACAGATAAAAGAATCATCAAATCAAAACACAAAGCCAAACCTCTTGTACAAGACCATGCCTCCAGCCAAGTCTGTAGCAACCGGGCATAGCTCCAATAGGCGTGTCTTCCTCACCTGCCACACTCCAAAACCACATAATCTTAATTAAAGACAAGAGAGACCCATTGAGAGATATTAAAGTCAGAATACAAAAGAAACTAACAAACCTTCATGAATGAAAAGTGGGTATACAAAATTTGCAGGGGAGATATCAGTTTCCTGAAAGGCGGCTCGCGCAACAGGGGAAGCGCGGTTACGACGTGGGCGTCTGCTTAGATTCTGAAAGCATAAGTAACAGTAAGCCACTTAAAACTTAAAAGTTTCAACCTTGCAGCTAAACATTAGATTATGAAAGCATATGTAACAGTAAGCCATTTAAAGTTTCAACCTTGCAGCTAAACATTAGATTATGAAAGCATACGTAACAGTAAGCCACTTAAAAGTTTCAACCTTGCAGCTTATTGTTCACTACATCCAGATATAGAGATAGCTAATACACTATAGTGGTGAAATCAATTAAAGAACGATGGATTGATTCAAATTATGTTCTTAGCTAACAGCAAAATCATCTGTACAATGCGATTAGAGCAAATTCACAATGAAAGTAAGGGACTTGGATACTCACAAGAGGCTGAATTATCGGTGTACCAACCGGAGCAGCGGGTTTAGGTGGAACCGGAGGAGCTTCAGGAACATTTCCAGCAGCAACAGCGGCTTCACACTCAGCATCACTCATTCCAAGTTTCTTAGCGTGTCCATTGCCAGATTCACTAGCTCTTATTACAAGATTACGACGTTGACTAGTTGCAATTCGAGAAGAAGCAACACTCACTTTACTCACATTCGATCGCAGACCAATATAGTTCTTACAATCGATTCCTCTGGTCGATGGAAAGCTACACGAGGCATTAAAAATCGGGGTAGTAGCCATGAATCTGCAACACACATTGAGAATTTCATCAACAAATTGTGATATTGACTTCTGAAATTGAGGTTTCTAAGATCTAACCGTTACTTATAATGCAGGATTCAATTGAAAGTTACAGACTTTAGATCGTATATAGACTAAACAAAGCAAGAAAGCAAGATTTAGGTGAAGATGAAGAAGAAGAAGAAGAAGAAGATTAAAGCTGTTTCGTTCTAAATGAAAACACAGAAAGCAAAGAGAAACAGAGTAAAGTTGTTTTTGTTCAAACCTTGAATTTGAAGAAGTAGTTGGGATTAAGGAAGCTGGGAAAAAATGGGTTTAGGAGAAAGATGATAACTTTAGATGATCGCCGATTTTGAGTCTTGACAAATTGACAAAGAAGATAGAGACTGATGTTCACGCGCTTTAGCTGCGAGTATACGAGTTTGAGAACTGGGAAATTTTAAGTGATGATGGTTTTAGAACTGGGCTTGAAAGAGTTTTAATGGGCCTATGTTAATTAGATGAAACTGGGCATTATAAAGTATGGTCCAGTTGCAAAATTTTAAATTCGCTAAACGGTCTACAACTGTATATCGGTACTTTTGTGTTGTTGTTTTCTCTTGGAAATAATTGAGGAAGAAAATTCAAAAGATGGAAGAAGCGAGATTGTTTCAGTAGGCCTACGAACACATAAAGGCAAGTATTGATTTAGTCAACTGGAAAAATGAGTAATGAGAAGCTAAGCTAACATGAGGTTGTGAGCTACTCTCTTACTAGTCTTCATTGACAAAAGACAAAATTCATTGACGAAGACTTAAGACTTAATTGATGTCCAAGTAAACGGAATCTTTCTTATCTACCTCTTCTTACAAAAGAAAATATTCAGGAAAGAACAAATTTTCTTAAGCAGAACATAAACATGAATTCTTATAATAGTTTTTCTCTTTTGATTCTCTTCTCATTCCTACTTTTTTTTACTCCAGATTTTGCGGTTCTTACAGTTTCTTGTCCAACACACTGTGGAGGAATCGAGATCGTGTACCCCTTTGGAGTCGGAAAGGGTTGTTATCTAGAGAAGTGGTACGAAATTACATGTAATACCTCTACTTCAGGAAAGCTCGCCCCTTTTCTTTCCGTAATCAACAAGGAAGTTGTGGGTTTCTCTCTTCCGAGTCAGCCCGGGTCTAATAACTTTCCATTGCCGTACCGGTCAGTTAGCATAAAAAACCCAATAACTTCAAGAGGATGCTCAAGCAATGGAGAAGAGCTTGAGCTTGGAGGACTTTTGAATTTGACGGGTACCCCTTTTTACATTAGCTACACAAATACACTGATAGCGCTTGGTTGCGACAACACTGCAACGTTGTCGAATGTCGAGCCAATCATAGTGCAATGCAAATCAAGCTGCAACACAGCAACGCCTATTAAAGATTATCTTGCACTAGTCAATTGTGAGGACCGCTATGGCTACATAGAGAATTGTCATGAAGGAAACATTACGGAAGGAAGCATTGATATTACGGATGCAAGCTGCAATGGTATTAGATGCTGCAAGGCGTACATGCCCGATACTATTCAACAGATTGTTGGTGTCACAATAGAAAACACCACAACAAGAGGGTGCAAAGTTGCCTTCTTGACAAACAAAGCAACCTTGTCTAATGAATCTGATCCACAAAGGATTCATGCTAGAAAATACAGCACGGTTGAGTTAGGATGGTTTATCCATACGGCGAATCGTTCGTTTGTAAAGTCTCTGGGATGCTATAGTGCAAAAGAGTACATGAATCTAACCTCCCAACAAAGAAGGGGTGACATAAGAAGTTGTGTATGTGACAACAATGTTTATCTAAGCTATGCAAGATGCTTGTGCATTCAGGGTTTCAGAGGCAACCCATACCGTTTAGGCGAATGCAAAGGTTAGTAATCGTGTTTATAGTTCATGTTTTTATTCAAATTTTCTGTGGCCATGATCCAAAGGAAGCCTATGAAATCATCGTTTGATTACAATCTCCTAATATTTTGAAAACTAGATATTAATGAATGCCAAGAAAAAGATGTTGATGGACCTTCCAATCGCTACTGTGGGGAAGGCATTTGCGTCAATACTCGGGGAGGCTATGACTGTATTTACACAATTAATCATCATCATCATCGAGCACGGCTACTTGCTATAGGTAAGTCGTGGGAACTTTTCTTCCAAATATAGGCTCACGTCCCTTTAAAGCTCTTTTACAATGGTGATGACAACATTTTTTTTTCTTTTTCATTTTTTGAACAATGATGATCAACTTTATATTACCATTTATCCAAGAAATAAAACAAAAAAATTTGCTTTTTTGTTCTGTGTTTGCAGGGATTGGTGCTAGTTTTAGCTCATTGATCATTGTTGGTGGAATATACTTGTTATACAAATTTATTAAAAAGCAAGTGATGTTAAACCAAAAGAAGAAGTTCTTCAAGCGTAATGGGGGTCTTTTGTTACAACAACAATTGACTTCAACAGAAGGCAAGGTTGAGAAGACAAAAGTGTTCAGTTCGAGGGAGTTGGAGAAAGCTACTGAAAACTTCAGCTCAAATAGAATACTTGGTCAGGGTGGTCAAGGTACTGTGTACAAAGGAATGCTTATCGATGGAAGCATTGTAGCAGTAAAAAAGTCCAAAGTCGTGGCGGAAGATAAGTTAGAAGAGTTCATCAATGAGGTTGTCATTCTTTCGCAGATCAACCACAGGAACATCGTGAAACTTTTGGGGTGTTGCCTTGAGACAAATGTCCCAGTTCTCGTTTACGAGTTTATTCCTAATGGTAACCTTTTCGAACATCTTCATGATGAGTTTGATGATGACACAATGGCTACTTGGGAAGTGCGTCTCCGCATTGCTATAGATATTGCAGGAGCTCTCTCATACTTGCACTCATCTGCATCGTCTCCAATCTATCACAGAGACGTCAAGTCTACAAACATAATGTTGGATGAGAAATATCGAGCCAAGGTATCTGATTTTGGAACGTCAAGAACGGTAACAGTGGATCATACCCACTTGACAACAGTAGTTTCAGGTACAGTGGGATATATGGATCCAGAGTACTTTCAGTCTAGCCAGTTCACAGCTAAAAGTGATGTCTACAGCTTTGGGGTCGTGCTAGTGGAGTTAATAACTGGAGAAAAGTCGATTTCTTTTTTGCGGTCTCAAGAAAACAGGACATTGGCAACTTATTTCATTCTTGCAATGAAAGAAAACAAACTATTCGATATTATTGATGCTCGAATAAGAGATGGTTGCATGTTGAGTCAAGTGACTGCAACGGCAAAAGTTGCAAGGAAGTGTCTCAATCTGAAAGGGAGGAAAAGGCCAAGCATGCGAGAAGTGTCGATGGAGCTTGAAAATATTCGTAAGTCTTCTGGAGATATGCAACTACAAGAATATGTTAGCGAAAACGAGGAAGAGGAAGAAAAAAACAAAGGAGTTGTGGAAAATATCATGAGGGTAGAATCAAGGAGCAATGAGGTTGTTACCGCTCCAGCTTCTGCTTCTCAATACAATATTGCTGCTGCCTCATCTTCTTCGTGGTCAGATGTTGAACCATTGTTTCCTCTTCAAACACGGTAAAACTTCAACTTTGAACATTGTCTTTGCTTTTACGTTTGAGTTCTGTACTAGCCAAGTGTGTGTAATAATAACGACTCTCGTTTGTATCCATTTCCCAACAAAAAAATACATAAAAATAATTTGATATTTTGGTTATTACGATATGTTTAACGCAACAACTATACAAAATTCAAATGTCATAGAGATAACATCCATAAAATGCATAAACTTTTCCGAATTGTACTTGTTCCACCCAAACTTTTGTCTTCTTGATTTACTACACAAACCTCATGAATCGTATTGGTTCCACGAAAACTAGCAAAATGCTTTATTGAATATTGACTTTTGATTTTTGAAGATCTAAAGAGTTTGTGAATCAAATCAGGACAATATAAGACGAAGAATCTCCCCGGAAAACTTGAACGATTTATCTGTCTCTTCCAAACAATGATCTTTCTCTTCTCTTGTCCAACACTGCCCATTTAAATATCAAAATCCACATTAGCCATTAGAATGCACAAACTATATTCTTCCTTGTTCACAGTAGTGTTAAATTCACAATACCTCTGCAACTTTGTTCAGTTTTTGCCTCACATTCTGCAACAATTGAGAAAGTTGACCGTCCCATTTATAGAACTCGAGTTCTTTATCATCGAGTATCTTCTCAGATACCTGAAAAAACTTGTAAAACTTTCAGAAAATAGTTCCAACTTCAGTGATTTTGGTGCAGGAAGTTTCTTTCTTTACCTTTGTTCCAATCATTTGGCCACCGGCGCTATGAGCAAAGTAAATGTTGTAGAAGTGACAAATGAATGCTTGAGGATCATTCTCTGCTAAATCTTTTAAATACTCAGAATATGTTTTACCAGGAGCCATTGGCTCTGGAATCTCATAACCTTGTTCCTTGAACCATTCCAAATCCTTCCGCAAACTCTCTGCTCTTTCTAATCCCGTATTCTTGAAACCGGCATCTACACATAACAAAAACAGAGATTTTGACAATGTTACACAAGAAAAAGAACCTACTTTTCACAAACCGGTATTTGTTTCTAATACATTATAAAGAACCATGATCCCTCAGATTGTTTCAAGAATCTAATGTGTGCATATAATCCAAGAAGTTTGGTCTCACTTTAAAAGCAACTTCTGAAATGAATCAACATGATACTTCAAATTCATAAGAAATGAGAAAGAAACTCACAAGTTGGGAAATTGGATTCGTCAATGATCCCTTCAAGCGTGTCGTAAACCAACTTACTATCCACAAGAAACTGTAAGTATCCTTCCACCGTCGGCTCCCATTTAGCCACCGGACCTTCCTCCGGAGATTTAGATTCTTTTTCTCCTTCCCTTGCCTGATCTTTTGTGTGCAATCTCATCGCCACGAATCTCATCTCTTCCACAAAACCCTTTGATTCTCCTGGATACTTCTTTTGTTGCTTCTCCGTTATAGCCGCTGCAGTCACCACGGAAGCTTGACCTCCGTTTGCTTTTACAGCAAGATAGCCCCGTGGAGCGGTTAGGGTACGGGTATAACTAATCCTCGCGGTCGCTCTCAGGCCGAGATAGCTCTCGCTATAGAGTCTTGTGCTCGACGGAAAGTGGCAAGAGGAGTTAAGTCTTGTTGTAGCCATGAATCTGCAACATATACACACACACGAATTGAGGATTTACTCAAGCCATAGGATATAGAACCGAAACTAGGGTTTCTAGGAGAAACATGAAGGAAGTGTAAGCATCAAGGTTACGGATTCAAACACCAAAATGTAATTTTTTCAAATCAAAGCTAAGATAATTAACAAAGATTTTTAAGTATGTAAGGAAAAAACATTACAACCACATACCTCGGAATTTTGCAGATTGAATGAGAAAGATGATGGGAGATGAAGGGTTTCTCTGGGGTTTGTAACAATTAGTCAATTACCAACATCATAAATTGGTATTTTTTTTTCTGTTTTTTTTTTTTTTTTCTAAAACAGTCAGATAATATTTTTGGGAAAATCTAAAATTTAGATTTGTTCTGTTTTCTTAGTTGTGTGATTGACCTTTTGGGTCAACATGACAATGAAGTTTGTTAGATTGAATTATATATTTATAATTTACAACAAACATTTTTTTCTATGAAGAGCAGAAAAAACATCATGTTCCACAACAAATAAAATCTGCATCCATGTGTTTCTCTATTTTTATTCTATATGTCACTATCTTTTCTTTATCTCTGTTAGTCTCTCTCTCTATTGAAGAAGACATAGGAGTCCTAAGAAACTAGAATGTTGTGGCGCTCACACACTTTAGCTCCATTTTCACCCCACCACTTCTCCGCTTGTTCTTCGGTAAATTGTTTCCGGCTGCAGAATAAACAGAACAAGTATTTGTGAGCGATAACATGGTATAATGTCATGTTGTGCCGCTGAGTTAGCTAAAAAGGTGAGTTTAGATTACATTATAAGGAGACGAGAAGCATTCATATACCTGAACCGGACACGCTTGAGTTCAGTACCACCACCAGGTAAAGCCAACAATGTTAAATACACTCCTGGTTCGTCTTGCACAACCCTCTCTGGTTTCTCATTCTGTTTCCTATGCCCATTAGCGAAGCTCCTACTTGTTAGATTGTTCTCATGTTGACTATCATGAGAAACCATGCTTCTTATATGTGTTTGGTTACTAGTCTGAGTTACAGTCTCTGATGTCTCTTTGTCTGTGCGCTTTGAGTTGGTACTAATAGCATCCTTTTGAGATTGTTTTTCTGCCATTTCCTTCAACTGAAAAAACCATAGTAACATTATGAGAGATAGATAAATGAGACAAAGAATGTAGTAGAGTCTGGAAATTTTCAAACCTGAGTGGTTAGAGATCTTATAACCTCCTTTGCAGATCTATTTTCTTCTGCTTCATCTGCTGCCATTGCAGTGACAACTTTTAACTGCCTTTTGGTTTTTTCGAGTTCCTCTTCAAGTTGGTGAGTTTTGGAAGTAAGTTGTTCTACCTACAATGTTCAGTAGATAGAAACATTTTTTAGTCTAGAAGCATTTGCTTTTGATGTGATTTATACAGCTGAAAATAGATGATGGTCAGAAAGAAATATACCTGTTCCTTTAGACCCGCCATATCTTGATTAAAACTGTCTTTTATTTGTTTAGATTCCGCAGCTGCTACTTCATAAGATCGACGTGGACTAGTTGACTTTACTGAAACTGGGGATGTTGTGCGAGAGCTCATTCCTGAACCAGGAATTTTAACCATCATATTCTTGGGAATTTTAGGCAAAGCTGTTGATCCTTTGGATAATGGCGAACCAACGGACTGTAAACTGCCATTCATGGAAGGGAAGACATTACTGTTATTTACTTCCGGTTTTAAGTCTCGTCTGTGGTGCCTTCTTTCACCGTAATGCAATAAAGAGTCAGCAGACGATAATCTGGCATGCGCTGAGAGGAACTTTTGAGTTAAGCTGTCTCTTTCTGAAACATCTGTCGATTTCCGCATGTTCAAAAGTTTTCTGGCCCGTGAAGTTGGCGTAGAAGTAGATGGTTCTCTCGATTTTTTCAGCTTGGTAAAACATCCGTAACACACTCGATATGGTTTGTTCATATCAGGTGCCAGAGCAGCTCTCAGAGATTTCCTACTGCTGCATACTTTACAAAATACCAGACCACAGTTGTAACAGTTGTGGCGTTTTCTTCTAAAGTTGAAGGGATTGCGGCAACCAGCACATAGAGAATGTTCAGAGCCAGGTACCCATTTGTGAACACAAATCACAGCAGTAAAGTTTGATCCACATGTTATAGCCTTCACTTGCTTTTCTTTCAGAAAACCCACAACCACAGGTTCTCTTTTGTTCTCAATGGTTCCATGGCCTAACTGGCCATTTAATCCCTTTCCCCATGTGTAAATTTCTGATTTAGATGTCAAAACTGCAACATGATAAGAACCACACGCAATCTCCTCCACAGAAGCCTCTACTATGTCTCCTTCAACACGTGCAGGAAAGTTTCCCTTGGCGGTAGGATTACCAAGCTGTCCATAAGCCGTGCTACCCATTGTATACACATGTCCTGTGGATGTAAGAGAAACCGTGAGACTATGTCCGCAGGCAACTTGGCAGATATTTTCATTCGACAATGAAATTACACACTCGGGAAGTAGTTGTGCATCATTGTCACCATGACCAAGCTGGCCTTTCTCGCCATCCCCCCATGTGAAGACTTGCCCGCGTGAAGAGCCAACTTCTGCCTCAGATGCTTCATTTGTCACTTCTACCAGTGCAGCTGTATGCCAAACGCCACACGCAACCTTCGTTACTATTAGTCCACCTAGGATTTTAACTTCACGGGGAACACTTGTGCTTCTCCGGTCTCCATGACCCAGAGCGCCAAAAGATCCATCTCCAAACGTGAACAACTGGCCTGATGATGTAACTACTGCTGTATGCCAGGGACCGCAAGCGACATATGATACATACAGTCCCTGTAAGGCACCAGTCACTCTCTTGGGAATCCAGCAGCTGGATTCATTCCCGTGCCCAAGCAAATCGACATTATGAGTGCCATCACCCCAACTGTAAAGATCACCAGATTGAGTAATAGCGCATGTATGGAAATCTCCGCAGGCTAAAGATTTGAAACCCAATCCTCTGACACTACTAATGAACTTTGGTTGTTGGACGTCTGTTTCTAAGCCATGTCCTAGCTTTCCACCTTTTCCCTCACCCCAGCTGAAGATCTCTCCTTGTTTGGTAACTATAACCGCATGACATTTACCACATGCAATATTTTGGGCATCAAGTACTATAGTTGATTCTAATGCTTTTGGTAAAAGGGCATCCTCTGTCGTGGAGTTCAATGAATTTCCAGTGCCGCTAAGTACACCATCACATATAGATTCACCCCAGACAAAAACATCACCTAAGGCATCAAAGTCTTCGTGATATGAACCATGGCTAGAGGTGCTCACAGCGCTAGATAGACTGAGCCGAATTGGGTCATTGGTCGAGAATCGTAAATTTGAATTTTCAACATTTACCGGAGTCGGAGAAAATGGACAGAAGAGGTTGGCACTGGCTTCTGTTTGATTATTGTTACTGGGGGGTGCAGTTATTGAAACAATGTCAGAAAACACTTTCCCCAACCGGGTTTGTGTAGAAGTCTCATTAGAGGGTTGAATAACTTGATCCTGTGGTAAGATGATGCAAAGTATAAGGTGTTCGTTCAAATTCCTAAAAACATAAAACGTATGGTTACTCACAAGAATTGTTACAAATGGAGACACTCTTCGTGCATGAGGGCTTGGACATTCCGCCGAAGTGATCTCAGGTTTAATAGTGTTTTTCCATTTGGAGACTTTTACCCGAGTAATCAATGACTTCAAACCAACAACCCAAACTTCTGCTTCATCTTTGTCTTTACATATCTGCCCAAGACATCATCAACAAGGTCAAGATGAATATGCATTCGACAATTGGCGGATGGTATTGCTCATTAAGATGGCACGAAAACTCACCAAATCCAAGGACCTGTCAGGACATATGAGCGAAAATGACTGATACTCTTTCTCGGGGCGTGGATATCTCTTAAATGTAGACTGAAACAAACTTTAGCTGTTGAGTCTAAGATGAGGGTAAGAACAAGTCGAAACATATAGAACAGAAGAAAGAAGCATGATAATTTGAAATGACGCCAAGAGAACATGAGACCATCTTACAAAGTTGCTATAGTTGAAAACTTGAAATGGTATAGAAACATATTTCAAACACTAACTTATAACTAGGGAACTGTACTTGTTTATGAACATACATACATATTGCAGAGAAAAACTCACCGTGCGTTGTCCAGGAACAATTCTCAGGACTTGACTCAGCTTAATCTGCTTCTCTTCTTTGCCAGAGTACCATACTAATGCAGACTCGTCCTAGGATAAATTCACATGTAAGATAAATGAGCAAACAATAAGAATACATAGAGTTCTCTCTCTATATATCAGTAGAGAAACATGAAGTCCAAGAACTCTTACACTTGTGAGCTGGAATGGACAAAACTTGGGCTTCCCTCTACGTCCATATTTCAACAAGTAAGATCCTTTCTTAAGTGACGTAATGGCCTGGTAAATTCATTATACAATAGGAAAGATACACTGCTTAATACCAAACTCAGTAAAAAGAATCACATCAAACTCATTTTGATTCTTCAGAACAATTTCGTATTCTAAGCATACAAAAGTTTCCATCTTGCAATCATTTTCAATCATTCAAAACATAGCTGATAAAGAGTAAAGTACCTGTTCAACGTCTCTCTCAGAGAGACTAATTCTCGAGGAATCAGCCATTGAAACTGCAAAGAGCTAATTCCCTTTCGAATCATAATTCTCAACCAAATCGTTTAACATCACTCGAATCTCCTTTCAATCATTCTATCTAACCCATTCTAGCACTTAGCTTCCTCCGTCAAAATCGAAGATTTCAAAATCCCCAAACTCTCAAGTCCAAAATGTACATTAACCAAAACAACAAAATCTACTCTGATGAATCCTCAGGAACAAACAATTTGCTCCAATTCTTCACCGATTCGTTGTTCACCAATATTTTTCAAATTCCTCGTCGAAGCAAATCCTAATAATCTGAAAAACCTCGATGAAGAATCTCTGGGATTAATCAATGCAAAAAACAAAAATCCAGAAAATTTCCTCGCCGGACGTAGAAGCAGCAGCACCGTCGATCGCCGGCGATGATTCGAGAGGCTATTCGTGATTTGAGAACCTACGCTTCTGCTTCGCTCGCGTTTATTCAAAATCTAAACCTTTATTTCTTTTCATTTTTAATTATTTGATTTCATTTCATCATAAATGTAAACTCCTCTCAAATTCGCATTTAATAATTTATCTAAGCCCGGCCCATTTTGTTATAAGCCCAACTCGTTAAATAAATTGAATAGTCTAATCATTTAAGTACAAAACAGCGACAAAACTGGACAGAGCTGGGCCCATGAATTTTGACTTAAAGTTTGCTTACACAGAGAAAAAAAAAAAATGTTTTTCCAGGTCCTACAATAATTACAAATCCGTAGTTCAAAGTTGACAAATTATGCAGCTGAAATTTATATGAATTTTGAGTGGATTAAAATGTACACTACTACTAAGAATTTCCTCCAAAATTAGAAAATAAACATGGAATTCTATTAATACGAAAACATGTTATTACATAAAGCTTATACATAATCCTGGAAAATTATGAAAACCATAGAGTCACATAACCAAAGCTTATGAAGTGAAAGTAGCTAAACCGGTTTAAGAACAGACCGGACCATAACATGGTATAGTAATAAACTTAGTACCTATAATCATCATCAAAGATCATGTAATTATTAGTTCCTCTGCTACTCCTTCCTCTTTCATAACTATCCTTCTGCATAACAAAAACACAACATTCATTAATATTATGTTACATACATATAAGTACATGATTATGTAAAAAATTTACTTACCCTAACGATCATGCGCTCAAACGCCTCAGTACCATGTTGTTCCATGTATTTTTCAGCAGCAGTGAGAATGTCGTCGTCGTCGCGTTTAGGGAAGAAATTGAATTTCTTGTGAGGAACATACCAAATTTTAGTGGTGGCTCTTTGAGGATCTCTATAGAATGGTCTTATGAAATGTTTGTAGATATGTTCTGCTCCATTAAATTGTGGTAACACTAACCAACATATACCAAACAACTTCATGTATGGCCATATCGGAAACCTTATAATTAACAAAAACAAAAACTGATATTAATATTCTATAAGTATGATGAATAAATTTTAAAAAGATGTTATTATAAGTGTTAATGAATTCACTAACCACTCGAGAGGTTTGGAGAAAGTGAGTTCAAAGAGAGAGATGAGTGCGTAAAGAACCCAGTAAGTGAGCCATTGTTCATCTTCTGGTAATGATCTTGTCTCTATTGCTTTCACTGATGCATATCTGTTCATTTTATTTTACAACATTGTAATTAATAATTCCAACACACGATCTTATCTTACAAAAGTTTAATGCCTCGTTTCTTGGATTCTAAGTGGGTGTCTGTGGATATACGTGCAGCTGAATAACTTTTTTATTCCTTAATGACAGAGGATCAAAGTTTTAAAAAGTTTTGTTTTTATTTCTTTTAACCCCAAAAGTTTCAAATGTTCATATAAATCTGAGCGAAAGATTGGACTAATAAGTGAGTTTTGCTAACAATTAAATCTTTAAATTAGCTTAATCAACAGATTTAACACACAAATATATATGAGAGTGGTTGGTTTCACTTACAAAGGATAGACGAGTGTAACCAATGGGCTGCAAAAGCAAAAATGTAGTAAGATTCAACTTTCAAGATTCCAAAAAAAAAAAAAAAAAAAAACTCTATAAATTAGTACTAATCTAAAGAGGGTTTTTATTTTCAAGAATCTAAGTAAACCCTAGACAATATAGCTAAACCCAGTAGAAATTAAAATAAAGAAACAAGATAGGATCTAATTAACACACAAAAAAAGAATCAAGATAGGATCTCTAAAGAGAAATTAGAGAAGAGGCAAAGGAAGAGAGGTTTTACAGAGCAAGGACATCGAAGTTCTTGATGAGAACTTGAAGAACATTATCATCTCCAGAATTTGAAGGCATTGCTCTCTAGTTTCTTCCAAATTCTTTAGCTTTCCCTTTTTTTTTCTCTCTTTCTCTTACTGTGGAAGTGGAAACAAAAGTGGAGGCCAGGTTTCACTTACAGAGACTTCTTGGACTTTTATGACCACTCACTTCATTTTTTCTTCTTTTTTTTTTTTACTTTTTAAATTTTGGGTTAAAAAGGAAAATTGATGTTTTTGCATTGCACAAGAAAAGAGGCACCGAAATTTTGCCAATTATTATGGACAGTTTTATTTCCTTACTAAACAGTAAACACAACTATTAGAATATTTCTTGTGATTTATTTCCTTTAATTGGTTTTATATACTTCTAAAAAACCTATTATAACATTTTTAACATGTTACATTTTATTCTAAATCGATCATGTTGAATACATTACATTATGCGTCTAATCTCTCAAGTGCAGAGTCTCTAGACTATACTTGACTTTGCCTTGAAAAGAACAAACCTATACTTGACTTTTTTTTTTTTCTCATCTTAATCCAATAAATGGGCCTTGCATAAAATTTAACAAATGGGCCTTATGAGAGCCCATGTATGAGAGCCTATGTATTATTATATGTAACCCACATCAGTCAATGGGGCTGGAGAAATTATATGCATTATCCAAACCTGGGCTTGAACATAAGAACAGAAACATCTAATTGGTTCTTTTCAAAATTATAAATGAAAAGATTGGAAAATAAAGACTTTTGTATTCAAAATTTATGTATTGAGAATTAATAGTAATTTCGTTTTTTTTAATTCCTTTACTATATATCTTCTTTATCATTATATCTTCCAGAGAAATATAGAATGATTACAGTGAAGACGAAGAATGATTGTATTAGTGAAGCCTGATTAAACAAAATAGATAAGCAAGTGAGGGAATGATGATCATTTAATCTTTTCCAGATCAAAAACAAAGAACCCACATGAATACACTCTTGTATACTGGTATATATAACTACGTAGATCCATACATCTATATTTTAAGCATACTTTAGTGAACATTTTAATTCCTTTTGGACCTATTGAGTAATGCCAGATTACTACTACTTCTACTTGTTGTGCCCTTTCCTTTTGTTGCAGATTTCTTTTTATTATAAAATAAAACGCCGACAAAAAAAACAATGATCGGTCATGACTCGTATCTTATTGTTTATCTAGAAAGTAATACGTAAACAATAATATACAAATATCAAAGAAGATTCATGAGATCATCTGATCTTAGTGTGTCTATTTATATATATATATATACTTCGTCTAACATCGTGAAATCTAGTTTAGTTTAGCCTATTGATATGTAACTGAGATCAAATAGAATTACGTTCGTCTAAAAATGTTTGAACATTATTAACCCTAGTTGTTATAATATTTGATGTCCTTTTAATTGACAGAACATATGGATGAGGTTATATAACCGACAGGCCTATGATGTCAAGGAATGGTTCACACCGATCTATAGAAGGTTCATGTATTATTTTCATAATAAAAAAAATTATTGTATATTGAACTATATATAGAACAATAATTTGTTTCTATTAACAGGATGTGTGAGCATTATTTTAAAATTGTTAACGTCGACCCAATTCCCATGCTAGTTGATTTATACACCTTAGTTCTACATATTCGTTTCTCTATGTATACCCATGCATGGTAAGACCGTATGACAAACATTATACTAAAATAAATCCAATAATGTAGACCGACACAAGATGCAGCGATATGGACCATATGGTTAGTACGCATGTTACATATACTTATGTATTTTTCTGTATAATGAAAAATTCCTGTTTATTTTGTACATCATCAATGTATATCCTGTCTCAGTTATAGACATAATATATATATATATATATATATATATATATATATATATATATGTTTCATCCATCAACGAAAACTCATTAGAAATAAATGATCAAGCTGGAATCTATAACCATCAATAGTTTTTTTTTTTTGCTAAGATATAACCATCAATAGTTTTGATAACTTGCTTATTATACATGCATGTAGATATACGTATATCTCCAATCTATAAATTTTTTTATAGGCATTGTTTTTAAAACACCTTTTTATCTATTTTTAGCAGAAAATATGTATTCTTGGTATTTTTTTGGGTATCCGAAAATTCACAAACTTTGACATATAAATACATTTCTTGGTGATGAGTTTCATAGAACCAGAGATTGTAATCGTGCGTGAGTCTTCAAATGTAGCACCAGATTTAAGTTCCTAGCTATCTTATGGTTATGGATAATGGATCTAGCTATATTTTATTTTTGATAATTCTCCTTCTTGTATTTTGCTTCTCAACTATAAATATTTTGATAATACTGGACCATTAGCAAAAATAAATGCCTTAAAATGTTGCAACGGCTATAAATTGAACGTATCCAATAATCCAAAACCATGCGCATAAAAAGACCTACTGGCATTAATATGGCATCATATCTACAATGCATCCCCTCGTCAAGACACTTATAATAACTAAAACCACTCACACTTTAATGCTTTGAACTATATGATTTTATTACTAAATATATCAAATAACAAGAACTTAGCATAGTTACCATCAAACATCGATAGACCAGTCAGGAGTAAGATGTGAATCATGCAAAAAAAAATGACATATTAAAAGAGATATATAGAACCAGAATAAGAGCTCACAATGCATAATATGTAATGTACCTCTTGGAGACAATGTAACCATGAACGAAGAAAGTGGAAGACAGTAATTTGGTATGCGAAATAATTTATTGATAACCCGTACTGAAATATACATATATTATAAAACACATGTAGAAATTATTCAAAAACCCTAATCAAGTAGTGTGTCTCATTAGAAAACTCTCACACTCAATAGTAATGAGAAAAACATTTCACAAGCCAAATATACTACTTCAAGCAAAAACCTCTGGAAAAAAATAAAACCAAAGCCTGGTTACAAAAACCACAAACTAAAACATATCGATTATGATCATGTTCTTAATTACTTACTCAATACATTAATCAGAAGAATAAACAAGATGAAATCCGATCTAGAGCACGTAGAGTATTAGAATTTAGAAATAAATAAAAATATATGAAAAAGAAGCAATGCAAAAAAACACGCTTGTTAAGAACAAACAAACAAACGAAAGGACAAAAAAAGAAAATAAATCTCACAGAATATATATGTTTGTGTATGTTTGTCTAGGAATGATGACTGGTGCTTCCATCTTCTTGATGGTTGTGATGATGATCTCCGTCGCGGTTTTGTTGGTTGTTGTTATGGTTCGCCGTCTCAGCCACCGGCCGGTAAGCAGCGTTCAAAGCCGCTAAAACTCCATAATGGCTATGTTCTCCGCCGCCACCTCCTCCTCCTCCGTAACCAGAAGCCAAAGGCTGTCCAGAAAACAAAGCAATAGGAGCTGCAAAGTTCATCAAATGAACTCCACCGCCAGCTCCACTACCGCCGCCACCACCACCGTTCGGGTTATAAACATCTCCGGCCACAACACCGGAATGATGAGGATTGATATTAAACGCCCAAAGATTCTGTGTGTTGTCACCACTACTCCAAAACGGTGCCGTAGCAGGACTCTGACTTGTAGGTAAAGATCCAGCAGTTGATTGTACTAGATAGTTCCCCATTTGGTTGTGATCTAAAAGCTGCGAAGAAGAAGAAGACGAAGAATGTGACTCGTTCTTGGGACGAACCTGATGCTGATGTTGAAGATGATGAGTCATGGACTGATGAGGTGAATGAAAGTAATAGCTACTCGGTGTTGTACGAAGATGTGCAGCGGAGAGAGAAGATCTTGAGCTACGAAGTGAGATGTTTAAAGAAGTGAAGTTAGCCGGAATGGTTCCAGTCCCTGTAGCGGCTATAACCGCTGGCTCAGCTTGTTGGAGTAGCCACTCAATAGTTTCACCGTCGGATTTGTGACCAAGCTCACGTGTGAGCTGAAAGACACGTGCAGCGCACATGGCAGGCATACGGATCCGACGGCCTCGGCCTTCGACTTTGGTGTGTCGGTCCTTAGTTGATGTTCGTTTAGGAGGAGGCTTCTTAGGTTCGGAGTTAGGTTCGGAAGTAGCAGAGATGATGGCTAGGGAAGTGGAAGAGGAGGAGGTAGAAGAATCAAGAAGCTGGAGAGGGAAGTTGGGTCGATGATGATTCGGGTTATGATCCGGATCCGGATCCATGATGATGATGATGATCGAAGCTTTGGTGGTGGGGAAGTGGGACTATACTACTGTCTCTGTTAGATCTTTATGTGAGCCATAGTTTTCTCTCTCTATAAATCTCTGTTTTTTTGCTGCTACTTAGAGAGAGATAGAGAGGTTATATGGTCCTTAAGGACATGAAACTCCTTTCAGATGGGAAGCTTAGCTGTGTCTATGTCTGAGAGAGAGAGAGAGATTAAAGCAATGAATATGAAAGCATGGACTTTTTTTTTTCCTCTTGCTGCTTTATATCTTTTGTGTTTTATTTTTGGAATTTTATTTACATTATAAACTATTCCCTTTGAGAATTTTTCGTTATTTTTGGAAATAAAAGAGATGGGCTAGCTACGTGGTTCTCCAATCTGTACAAATATTCATTCAAATAAGATGTTTTTTTTTTTACGTACAGTGATCAAAGTTAGTGAAAATAAATGGTGTTCGTGTATTTATTGTGTTTGGGTTCATAGTTTTCTATAATAATACAGCCCTATACGAACACTCTTTTTCATTCTTTACAATAATTAAAAAGTGACGTCAGTTTTTCGTCGTAACTGTTAACTTCAAGCGATCGGGAAATTAATTGCACATTTAGCGAAAATTTCAGCGATTCAGACAGAACTCAGAAGTTTACATACGATATTTTGTACATATGTGACAACAGAATAATAAATAGATAGAATTATTATTGACAGTGATTAATCCATGGCTCTATGGTAGTTCACGAGATCCACATGATATAATAGAATCCAACTGCTTTTTTTATGAAACAGATTGATTTTTTTTTTTTTATCGTTTGTTTTTTCTTGAATGAGTAGTTACTGGTTAGATACTATTATCAACGAAACCATAGTTATACCCAAAACAAAAACCATGTATATTGCTTTATAGATAAAAGCAAATTTGTAATGCTTCTCTTTTGTTTCCACCATTGGTGTTATCTCATTGACATACAATTGTCGTTAAAAGATGTAGCACTAAATTTAGAAAATTATTTGATACTCTGATGTGGACAGAACATTTGATTTTAATTTTTTTTTAAACGAAAATTTTATATGTAGTGATGAAGAAGTTTCCTTTCTTATGTGATGATTATTTATATATAAGCAGTTCAATATACCAGTCATCCATGGGAGTTTTAGAGACAATTCCCCCTTTAAATTATTTTTCAAAAATGAGTTACATAGATTATAGATTATATGGTACGAGGACTAGCGTAATATATGTTTTAAAATAAATTTGAATTAAAAGAATATAAAATTTTATTTATTGTAAAAGTAATTTCGAATTATTATGAACATTACATTTTAGATAAACTTTTTTTTTTTAAAATATCAACTATGTGTTTTCTTGAAATTAAGTGTAAGTTATTACATATATATAACCAACATTTTACCAAAAAAAAAAATATATAACCAACATAAGCATGTATATAATAACTATAGATAGCCATGTAATATATTTAAATATAAATATGAAATTTGTTAAAATATGGAGAAAAGTTATAAAAAGTACTTACACATTAATTTTGAGTTTAGGAAAATTCATCTTGCTTAGTATGTTGAAAATTTTAAAATATGTTTGTTATATCTTACTATTCCTTTTCCAATGTCTAAGCTTAACTATAAAAATTCAAAACAAAATGGTAAAACTCCTCAAAAAAAAATTATAAATTTTATTGTAATTACGTAATTATCATTTCTTAGTTTAGACGAATTTATTAACGTGAAGCTTTTAATGAATCTTTTAGGAACATTGATTAGTTTAACTCGGCGTAACTATAAGAAAACATTTTCGTCCAAACATATTTGGAAATGACAATTTTATTTTATTTTACTTATATATGTGAATATGTGATATCTTCTTTATTCTTTTTTACAAAACTATGATCATTGACCAAAATTCTCTCTCGTAAAATATAAATAAAAGTCTCGGCAAGTAGTAAAGTACTAAATCTAAGAAAAGAAAAATCAAAGACCAAAGAGAAAAAAAAAAAACGAATTGATAGTTGAAAGGCGTTGTGCATATTTGACATTCCAGTAAGACAATTCAGAAAGAATGATCAGAAGATATTATGAATAATAAAGTCAGCCGACTAATTAATCACTCATTAATTATTTTCAGTCATTTTCTCCACTGGCATATCTATTTATGTACATATGACTCCCTATTTTTCCTCTTCAAACAAGAATCAATCACACTTGCCCCCTAAAAAGGTTTAGGACCACAAATTTTACGTACTAATCAATATTTTTCAACAACTATACTTCGATCCCAACATCCTGGTAATTAGTCCATGAACAACTCTAAACAATTTAACTACGGATTTAGGTTATTTTATATTGATCCACTCCCATAATTCTATAAGATTGTAAACAAAACAAAAAATCATAAACTTTGGTTGGTTATATATAGACATTATATATAAAAATTAACATGTGGTGATATAATAAATGTTAGAAAGACAACAATAGTTTAGTACTAGTCTCGTCTTGTGGGTCAATTCTGGATGATCAAGGTTTTCTGTTATTATACATCAATCTATCTGTCTAAATATACTTTTAAGGTTGTAAAATACAAATTATTATTAAAAAAAACTAAGAAGAAGAAGAAAATGAGAGTAAATAAATAAAAGAGATGGACAGTGGGATGAAACAGACTCCACGTGCGTGTCCTCTGCATCATTCACTCTCTAAAGACAGTGACCATAGCCTCATCTCTCCCTTATGGACCCCTCATCTAGTCAAGTCAAATTATTTAATCTTTTTCCCAAATTTACATTTTTATTTCTTCTTTTTCTTCATCTTTTGATTGAATCTAATTTACCATCAATCACGAACCCTATTTCAAACATTACTGCGCGTAAACAAACATCATCTTAATTCTTAATTAGCTACTGTTTGCATTATTTTACAGAAGCTTCATTAAGATTCTCCAGAATTGATGTATTCAATCTTGGAAGAAAAAAAAACTCGATCATATTCAATCAAACAAACAGAAATAATCGATTTGAAAATTGAGTTTATCCTAGTTTAAATGGATTTATTTTCTTACTATTTTATTAAAAATGAATTTAAATTTGAACGAAAACAAAAAAATAACATTTTAAAACCAAAGTTTTTCTTAAACTAAATCTCGAATAAGAAATGAAACTAAAACCATACTAGACTATACATAAATAGTTTCTAGATTAAGAAAAAAATCAAACCGAAATCAAATAAAAATCTGGACTGAGTATGCATACTTTATAGTATTGAATACACAAGTTTTACTTTGCATTATTTTCCAACTCATCTCATTTATATATAAGAAAAAATACACTTGAGTAGCAAAAAAATGTATACAAAATGGAGAAACAAATTAAAAAGGAAAACAAATAATTAAAAGAAAAAAGTGGGCTCCCATCCACATTCACCAGCAATGATTGCCTCACTGCCTTTGCAGCTCCACTTCTGCTTCTTTCCTCTTTCTTTTTTCTTTATTTTATTTTCTCCACCTTGCTTTAGATTTTCTTCATATTTGCCCCTGATTTTTTTTATTTTCTCTTCATCACCCTCCAATTTTGTTATATACGGTATATGAATATATCAATGCTCTTCAACCCATACTCTCTTATTATATGATTTATATCCCATATAAAATATGCATTATTTAGCTATCGTTATAAAGAAAAAAATACTATATGCAATTAATAGCCTATTTTGGAGTATTTGCAAAAATAATATGATGAAGAATCGTAAATAAGTGAATGGTGGATTTTATACAAACAGCTTAAAATTAAAATGTATTTAAACAATATCGTATTATTTAATCGATGAACATTGTTTTGTATGATGTCATTTATCATTTGATAAAAATATATGCGAAATCAATACCATTTGTCCACAAAAATAAGCACAATTGGTCATTTTCCACTCTATCAACAAATAAAAAGTCCTGTTTCCTTAAGCTGACTAAACAGTTTATTAATCTTATACTTTGTTAATAAATAAATACAATTTAGATTCTAAATCATACCACTCGTGATCGATATAATCTCACCAAGAATTATCATTAGTGGATTAGTGATCAATACGCTAGACGTTTTTTTTGGGATTCCACGTCAGCTCAAAGTTGAAACCCAATCTAATAAGTAGTGTAATGATTTATATACACTTAATTATTATATATGTTTCGTTATGTGTCTCTTCTCGTTGGTACAGACAGCTTAACATGAACATAATTATAAATACACGTTTTACATTACGAGAACCAACTACTATTTAATTTTGATTTGATGGTTAATTTTGGTTATGAAAAGATTAAACGAAGACAAATAATTCACACATATATATGTAGAGAGAAAAAAAGAGAGCATTGAAAGCCATGTACTGTCCATGTTGGATAGATAGGTAATGAAAGGAATAACATTGGCATGTATAACCCATGTGACAATAGTCCCTATATACAACTTATAGGCAAACACAGTTTGGTCGAGAAATATCTAAACAAAGTTAGTTCAATCAATTGAAAGCAAGTTCAAGTCAAAAGCCATAGTTAAAAAATGATGTTTAATTTACCATTATGGATCCATCGTAGATATTAAAAAGAATAATTCCAAACAAAGACTTGTGGATCAAAGATCAAAACCAAGTGTTGGAAAAAAAAAAGACTTGATCAGTCCAACCTCCGTGTCAATCGACCAATCAAGTTTAGAAGAGGTTCTTCAGAGAATCTGATTGGTTAATTAAGACTCTCCTATCTAGTTTACCCGATAGACTTGAGCAGTCACTTTCCTTACCTTAATCTCCATTTTCATAGTTTTGATCTAGTTTATTCTAGATCTAATATGGTTTGGTTCCAATATGAATATAAGCAAATTTTATTGAAGAAAAGCTTAAGTTTGATTTGATTTACTTATGGTGCTATAAATAATTGCATAGAAGGAGACTAGGAGAGAGAGAGAGGGAGAGGAAGAAACAACATAAAAGTTGTCCTCTCATGAACTGTCACTACGGCTAGCGACATAATCACGT